CGGAAACCCCACAGGGTCAGCTCTGTGCTAACCGATAGGGGTCACTTGAGTCGGAATCCACTCTTGGAACTGGTTGTTGTTTTATCTGTTATGCAGAAAGTAAGTGCCTTTGCAGCTCAATCTTCTGATCCACCTCAACACACTTTGATATTAATGACTCCTTTGTCTTGGCAGCTGTAATGCTTTGGCAAATTGTATTGCCACCAACTCGAGGAGGCAGAATCAGGGAGAACAGGGTGATTTATTCCCACTGCCATCCAGAGAGAGAGAGAAACTGAGGTGCAGACGGTCCAAGCACACACCCTTCCCCTATCATGACCTGAGAGCTCATGCCCCTTACCCAAATACCTAACAATCGGCAGTTCTAACTGTAAACCGCACAGGGACTTAGGGCTTGAATAAGCACTATCTTCCTGAGTCGTTAAGTGAGAAGGTACTCCCTGGCTTGTGTCTGTGCTTGCCATAGGAACTATGACTAACCTGACCCCTGAGAGACATGTCCTGTGCCAGATGTTTGCTTCTCCTTTTGTTCTTCTACAACCACTTCCCCCAAACAAGAACAGAACCCCCAACAAACTTCTCACCATTCCCTAAGAAGTTAGCTGAACTCCACCATCATAATTCTTAAATACTTCTCATATGCATAGCAATGTCTTTTGTTGAAAGGCATATGGGCCAAGGCCCCCACATGTTTTCCAACTGCCCTCTCTGTATAAGGTGAGAGTGAGAAAGCAGACACTCCCTTTCTCAAGGAGCTTACCGTACAGGCATAAGCAAAACAAGACTCGATACTACAGAAAGTTAGATCGATCAGGGCACAACCTGAAGCAGGACACAGGCCAGAGCTAGAGAGTATGGAATCGTTAATTGGTCAGCAAGTTTCCCTGTAGAAGCAGAAACAGAATTGACGCTCAAAGGATGAAGAACATGTGGGTGGGGCCCACATCCCACCAGCTGTTCTGTGGAAGAGGCAGGAGGCTGTCAATCAATCTTCCAGAAAGATTGACAGTCTGAGAAACCTACAGCAGTGGTTCTCCACCTTCCTAATGCCGCGACCCTTTAATACAGTTCTTCATGTTGTGGTGACCCCCCCAACCATAAAATTATTTTCATGGCTATTTCATAACTGTCATTTTGCTATTGTTATGAATCGGGCAACCCCTGTGAAAGGACCATTCTACCCCCAAGGGGGTCACGACCCACAGGTTGAGAACCCCTGTTTTACAGGGTTGATTTGAGTCAGGATCATCTTGATGGCAATGCATTCAGTTTTTTGTTAACACATATTATCTCATTGGGTTCTACTTTGTAATGTTGGCAAGGAGCAAAATCTCTGGGGCACAGACAAGAAAATCAATGTGACTTAAGGTATAGGTAGTCCTAGGAGTTAAAAATAACAACAGCAATAACATCAAACAAAAAATCAAACTCACTACCACTGTCAGTTCTGACACAGTGATCCCATAGGGGCAGGGTAGAACTGCCCCTGTCGCTTTCTGAGATTGATTGCTTACAGGAGGAGAAAGCCTCCCCTTTCTTCAGAGTAGAGCCTCTGATGGTTTTGAAATGCTGACCTTGGGGTTAGCAGCTCAGTGGATGACCACTACCCTACTGTAGTAATTATCATTGTTGGGTGCCAACTATATGCTAAGGGAACCTGGCGGTGCCGTGGTTAAGAGCTCTAACCAAAAGATCCAAACCCACTCGCCACTGCAGGAGAAAGGCGTGGCAGCCTGCCTCAGTAAAGATGACAGCGTTGGAAACTTGGAAACCTGTGCGGTAGCTCTGCTAGGTCCCACGGGGCCACCAGGAGTGGGCATTGCTGGTGTTGTAGGATCTATTTTATTGTGTGCAGTCTTTGAAACAAATGAGAAGGGGAGGCCCATTTTACAGAAGAGGTCCAAAATGGTTAAGTAAGGCACCCAGTGCCACAGTACTAAGTATCACAACTGGAACCTCTGCCAACCAGGCCTGTCCCATTCCTCGGGTGGGTTGTGCTGTAATGGACTGCTCCCCAGGCTTGCCTTTTCTCATCCTTCCAATTAAGAGCTTGAATCAGCGGCTGATGTTGATCCAGTTTGAAAAAGACTTTGAATTCTATCGTGCTTTTATTCCACTTATGCAATAATTTAGCAAAGTCAAAAGACTTTGGAGCAAGAGACCAATGAGACCGAAAATTACTTGGCCGCTTAAGGGTGGCCCAAAGGTGAGAGATCCAACTCTGAGCTGCTCATCTCTATTTTTGTGCTTATTTTCCAGGAGGCTGATCCGTAACCAGTTTCAAAGATTTAAGTCAGTGTGAAAGTTACCAATGGGGAGTATTTCTAAGGTCCTACATATGCATGTTTTAGAATCCTTTCCACAGTGGTCTCTTTACTCTGTGGGGTGGATAACAAAGTGTTATGTGGACCTAGTAACTGCCCACTAGGTGGGGAGGGGGAGTTTAGCCCCATTTACTATTTTTACCCACTGCCACGGGGTTGATGCCACTCATAGTCAATCTTCAGGGCAGGGTAGAACTTCCCCGGTGGGTTTCCAAGACTGTAACGCTTTACAGGAGTAGAAAGCCTGAAAGCCTTGACTTTTTCCCCACAGAGCAGCTGGTGGTTTTGAACTGCTGACCTTATGCTTAGCAGCCCAACTCATAACCATGACGCCACCATAGAGTAAGTGAAAAGAGATTTGGCCTGGGTGACAACACAGGGGTGGGGTGGGGGCAGAGTTAAGGGAACAGACATAGATGAAGAGGCACCCAGGGCCCAGCAACAGTGGTAAGCCTTCACCACTCCCAGAGAAGGAATGCTGAATCAGAACCCGGTGGCATGGGTGGCAGGAGGGGCACCTCTTGGAGGAAGTCGTGTGGTCCATGGAGGGATGCAGCTACTGCAAGGGACCTGGTACCCAAGCAGGGAGGGAGTGCCATAGGATAAATTCTGATCTCCATCTCCATTTGCCCTCAGTTCTTCCCAGGTCTCCTGAAGCCGGTTCACAAAGGAATCTGGTTGTACCCCTCTGTAGGGATCGGTCTCCTGAGCACGGAGCAGAGGAAGGGGTTGGGAGTGGGGGTGGGTGGGTAGGGTTGATTGATAAGAGGAGGGGAGACAGAGAAGAACCAGCACCCCAAGAAAACCTGTTTCTTCAGGTGCAAAATAGGGTGATTCAGAGTACCCTCCTCACAGGGTCAGGAGCCCTGGTGATGCATTGTTGGGCTGGTAACTGAACACTTTCTCCACAGGAGAAGGACGAGCCTGTTTACTCCCATCAAGAGTAACAAATTTGGAAACCCACAGGGGCAGTTCTGACCTGTAGGGTTGCTATGAGTCAGGATTGACTCACTGGCAGTATGTTTGAGTTTCTCACAGCGAGATAATGAGGATTAAAGGAAAAAATGTACACCAGACATCAGGGTCAGTGTTGTGTCAGTGATCAGATGATAAATTTTAACCTCACTGCATCTGCAACCATCCACTTTCTACTGCATTCTGCATGTTAGCAAAGTGATGAACAGTCCGGGTAAATGGTCAGAGGGATTTACCATGAGCTTAATCCACGTGTATTTCCCCTTCACTGTTTTTGAACTGAAATAGCCTTAACATGAGTCCACAGGGAGACCCGATGATAAGATAGCACATTTTGACCTGACTACATCGCAGAGGAGGTTTGAGCAGATGGTCAAGCCTTATTTTCAAGGTCCTTCGGGATTGCTTGGAATCTCTTGGTGGTATTAGCAGTCCATTTGTACACTTAACCACTGGTAAGTCACCCCGGGACTCTGGCTGTCGCTGTGTGTGCCACCTGACTCAAAGGACAGAGGGGCACTGACCCACTGGGCTTCTAGGGTGTCATTTCTACAGAACACATCACCAGGTCTTTTTTCCCAGGAGTAGCTCTTTTGTTTGGAAACGTCAGTCAATGGAAGACAGGTAGCCATGAGCTCATAACCTCCTCGGGACTTCTTTTTCATTTTCAGCTAATTGCTCGAGTGCTCCCTACACACAGTCTAAGGTTTCCTCTGCCCCTCTGACTGTGACCAACCCCAAGTGCCAAATCAGTGCCATCAAGTCAATGCTGACACATAGTGACAGGAGTGTGGGTTTCTGAGAGTGTAACTGCTTAAGGGAGTAGAAAGCCCAGTCTTTCTCCTTCAGAGCTGCTGGTGGTTTTGAACTGCTGACCATTTGGATCACAGCCCAACTCATAACCACTACACCAGCAGGGCTATGGCCGTTGCTTTAAAAAAAAACCAAAACACTTGCCAGCATGCCAAGGGCACCCGGCAGAGATTACTGGGAATGACAGTGGTTTGTCACATTTTGAAAGCAAGATAAGGAAGACCAGCGCAGGGGTGACAAGCAGGTCAGATTTGTATCTATAGAAGCAATTGCTTCCTGCTCTTTCAGATGAGTAACCGGTTTGTGTGTGTGTGTTTTTTCAAACACAGGATCACCTGGTTCCTGCCACACTCAGTACACAGATTAGAGAAACCACAAAAGTAATCATCCGTGTTCTTTTCACATCAAAGTCCATTGAACACCTGCCCTGCCATGAAGGGGAGGGTTAGCTCCCTACCTGGCAGAGGCAGGCCTTTCCCCTTGCTTGGCCGCTCAAGGGCAGTGAGTTGGGGCTGATCCACATGAAAGCAAGTCGGTGTCACAGCAGGTCCCTGCTCAGCTGCCCTGGGCTCTAGCCCCGCCCCTTGTGTTCCTGGAGGAAGAGTGAGTTAGGAGGCGGACAGCTCTGGGAAGACTGTCATTCCTGTTTGAGGCAACCAAGGTCATGCTGGGAGGTGATTCCAGTACTGACACCAGCAACTGCAGGTGCGGGCTTTCTTCCAGGAGGAGTGCCTTTCTTGTCCGGGTTTCTGGCAGACTAAACCGAGGGATCTGTAAAGCCGTTCAGACTTTCATCCCTGGGAGTGAAGCCATCCCCCAACGCTGTTCGTGGACTGCTCTGAAGCCTCAGCATCTGTCCGCCCCTCACACCTGCTGCAAGGGCCTGACCTTGGGTCTTCGGGCTTTTTCCTGGAGCATACGGGCATGGTGTCTCTTTACTCAGGGCTGGCTGAGACCCCGAAGAGACAAGTGTGTGTCGTCACAGCAAGATACAGTCCCTCTCCACACAAGCAGCTGGTCTGCTTCATCAAACATCAAACAGGTAACAGTAAGTAGCTTGGGAATTCTGCTTCCAATAACAACGGACTCTTCCGAGCAACGTGCACCAATCTAGGCCATAATGGCATTTGCCATCTTAAAGTTGAAAGGAAAAAGAGACTTGGCTCTGATCCAGGAAGACCCTGGAAGGCCCAGGACAGTCTAAACTATTACCTCAGAACTCTACGCAACACTGAAAACCCATTGCCATCAAGTAGATTATGATGGAGTAGAACTGCCCCTGTGGGTTTCTCAGGTTATAAAGTACTGCTGGAGAAGAAAACCTCATCTTCACTCAGAGGACCAGCTGGTGGTTTCAAACTACTGACCTTGCAGTTAGCAGCCCAACACATAACCCACTACACCACCACTGCTACTACCATGGCTCACTGCCACCTAGTCACTGCTGACACAGTGACTTAAAAAGCAACCCTATATGACAGGGTAAAACTAACCCTGAGTTGCTGAGACTGTAGTGCTTTATGGGAGTAGAAAATACCCTCTTTCTCCAGAGGAGTGGATGGTGGTTTCAAGCTATTGACCTTGCAGTTAACAGCCCAACAAGTAACCACTATACAACCAGGATTGGAAAAATGGAATTAAAAGAGAATGGAATTTCCCATAAGCTTTTTGTTGCCCCATCACAGATATAAACAATATATTATAAAGTGAGGTTATCCAAGTTTCTTCTCTCTCTCTTTCTCTCTTCATACTTCCTGCTTTATTTTCCTTTGGCCTTACACACGTTTTTATTTTTAAAAAAAACAAACACACACACAGCTCACAAAATACCAAACAGCAGGAATTCAAAGGGTAGCAAACATGGGGCTTAGCAGGCAGAAAGAATTCCTAGGCTCCAGAACAAAACCATGCCAATCGACGATAGAAAATTCTTTTGTTAATGGGACTCGTGGATGATTTTGTTTTGTTTACTTTGTCTTGTTGCTTTGCTTTGTGGGGGTGGTGGCGATTTAGGGACAAGACCAAAGCTTGTACAGCATGAAGTAGGACCTCTGGAAAAGGCAGAGGTCACCCTTCCCACCCCATTCCACCAGCCATCTGCAAGTGCAGGCCCGCGGCCCGCCCAGGCATGATGGACGGAGACTACAGAGCACCTGGGATGTGGTCGACCTCGCTGACCAGCTCCTGCCATTTTCCTGAGCAGAGCTTCTCATTCTCAATGCACGTGTCTTTCTTGAGCTTGCCTGCCACCAGCCGCTCAGCTTCCATTGCTATATCAGCACCAGTGCCCTGACCTGGGCTCCACCAGCCTCTGACCTTCACTTACTTTGTCACACCCGGTCAGAGCCTCTGCCTTGAACCTGGACCGCAGCAGTACAATTTCACTGGTCAATACTTTGTGCTCAGTCTCCAGGCTCTGCTGGCAGCTATGGAGGATGGAGACATCCTGAGATTGTGTACCTCTATTAACGACCTCATCATAGTGACAGTAGGGGCCTTTCTCTCGTTGACCAGGAGCAGGACCTGCTCTGTAATGCAGGCTCCTTGCATCCTGGCTTCAGTAGCTAGATCCTTTGTGATGGAGAAGTCCAGCCTGAGAGTGAAAGCAGCCACCACCAACAGGAGCTCCTGTCACAGGAGGACCTTTTTGAATAAGCAGTGGACCACAGTGTCCTGAGTGCTTGTTCTACCAAATTTTCTTGTATGCAACAATCACAGCGCGGCCAAACCAAGGTATCCAGATAGGTGTCGTGCAGCTCATCTGGGGCAGGGCTGATCTCATAGGGACTATCAGCTTGGAGGTTCTGGGCCCTTTTGGGCAAGATAATCTTCACAGTTAGAGGATCTATCACTCGCTCATCAAATAAATGGTCCATGAACCTCAACTTCAGTGCATACACTGGTCACCCAAATTATAAAGGTCCTCCTGCTCTGAAGATTGCAACCCACGATGTAATGGGTCTTCCATTCACGCCAAAGAGGGAACTAAGGCTAGATTTCCATCTCCACAGGCTCGTTCAACATAAGGAGGTGGCTGGCAGAAATCGTGCAAATCTCATCCCAGTGATAAACATCCTGGCAGCAGCAAGGGGTTTGTTTTAAAAGAATGGATGGAGGATATAATTGTCGTGCCAAAAAGGCCCCTTGAGCACAGCACCCATGTGCTTCAAGACCACATTGGCTTCCACAGCAATCTTGCCCCAGTGAGAGACATCAATGACGAACCATGCTTGTGAAAGTCAGGAACGGGCTGTTGCTCTGAAGTGTACTTTGAAAGCCTCCTGGCTGCAGATGGATGGTTCTCAAAGGCCCCCAATCCAGGAGGTTTTCTGAGCATGTGCGGTGCCTCGGTTTGGCGTAGCTCTCAATGTTTCAGGCTTCACACCCATGGTTTGTGTCTTTGTAGGCTAGGGAGAGTAAAAATAATGATTCCCCTCAAACTCCACAAATTGTTCCTCTGATCAGGGGATCTGTGTTGGCTATGGCTGAAGGACAGCGGTGTAGACTGATTCAACAAGGATATTTATATATGATGATAGAGAAATAGATTTATGTGCATATATTTATAGGTTCAGTATTAAGGTAGCAGATGGACATTGGACCTCCACTCAAGAACTCCCTCAATGCAAGAA